CTAGGTTTTTAAAACAATTAGATCAATATTGTCCAGTAGAACTCACAAAAACTGAAGACAAGATAGCATTTGGAGAGGAAACTTTCATTCAAAATTATTTTAAGTATTCATTTTCTTAGAATAGTTTTTCCAGTGTTATTCCTTGCCTAAAATCAACAGAATTGATTGGAATCTTGTTAGAATAGATAGTTTTGTGGTTATGTTTCGAACTTACTAAGTCAGGAACTCTAGAGGTGTGTGTCAGTTGTGAATCTGTGTTTTAACAAGAGCTACAGGTAATTTTTTATTTCACTAATTTTTTCTCACACATCTAGCTTAGAGAAAATATCAGGATCTGACATCACATATCACAGCTGATCATGTTTCCGCTTTAGCCCTAGTCCAAGAAAGGCACACAACAAGGATATTCTTGGATGAGGTGAGTAAAACCATCAAACCACTGAGACAGGTAGTGAAGAGACCAAATACAAACAAATGTGTAAAAGAACCATAACTCTAGAGTGACAAGTTTCATAAGTATCTCTGTATAATGTTTCATCTTAGCTAACAGCAGATTCTGTTTTTGATAACCTGAGAATAGTAGACTGATGTTGGAGTAGGTTATGTTAGTGGTATGTCTGTACTAAATAAAAACTTTGTGTATGGATATATTGGTACTAAGAATAAACGAATAGCATAGAAAACCGGGTTGTGGGTCTAATTCAAAAGGACTCTATGACAATACAATTCATTAAGATAATAACAATGTAGAGGTTTCCAGAAAAGGACAGCAGGAGATACTGATTTTGTAATATTTAGTGTATAAATTTGTCTAAGTTCCTAAAATTATCATCTCATGGTGAAATACTGCCGTTAGCAAATCATACTCCCTAAATATTTCATAACTGTACAGCAATTTTCTATTGGGTCCTAGTACTATCTTCTTCCAACTTGTGCAGATAGTATAAAAATAAAAGGAAGGCATCTCATCTTACAAAGCCAGTAAAAGCTTCGTGAAAGGACAAATCTAAGAACATATGCAGTAGCTTGTCTATAATAGTCAAGTCAAAGTTTCAAGGGAATAGACTATAATTATACCTTCTTTGCTTCTTTAACAGAAACCTCTCCATCCCTACATTCTGACGTGCTCAACCAGAAAAGGGAAAGTTGGAAGCTTCATTTCCTAGGAAACACAGATGCTCCACAAATGGCATAACCCTGACCTCAGTGAAACCCACCTAACTCTCCAGAGGCCACAAATTAGGTTTCATCAGAATAACAACCTCTGCATATCATCTTCAAATAACAGAGTGGCTGGAGACTAGTAAAGCTCTTGTGATCTTCCAAGGATGCTACTACAGTGCTGTCTTTTCATTTCTGCTATCTTGGAGTCATGTGAGTTTGGGCTAGTAAAAGATCCTTGAAAAGGCATTTCTTAGCCTTCTGGAGAAGTACAATTGATTATGAGAAGTTTACTTCAAAGCGATTCAAATATTAGGGAAAGAAATTTTGCTGAATAACACCTCTGTGTAGTTTGACTTAGAGTTTTTGTTAGCTTTCTAAAATAGGGGTTTTGATGAAATTCCTAAAACAAGGGTTATGGTTTGACAGTAAGAAGGAAGAGCAAGTCAGGAAGCTCCCAATAAAGTAATAAACAGTGGTGTCTAAATTAAACCAGGGAAATTGAGGCACAATGAAGACAGTTTAAGGTATTTACCAAGAGTTCTTGAAATAACTAATGAGAAATAACTCCTCATTATGCACCTAAGAGAAACTTATGTGCCTGGAAAGAAAGACACTGTAATGATGAACAGCAAAGATTTGAGCAGAAGGAATCAGCACAGTCTTACTGATAACCTCAAGAGCCTCCATCAGTAGTTTCTCAGTATACAGGAATGAGTTCAAGTTTAGCTGTGCTCTTATTAAGGCTGGCAGAGTCTGTAGTTTCAAGATGTGGTAAGTGTTTTCCATTCCCAGTTGCTCCATGTGTGACAAATTTTTCTGAAGGTATTAGCTTTAATGTCCCATTAAGAGTAGATTAGTGACTGGATCAGAGTTATAAATTAAAACTGAAGTGTAAGTGGGAATGGTAACAAAAGTTTAAATATTTTGTACAAGTAATACATGAAATCACAAAGCTGGAGTTGGGTGCAATAATAATGATGTAAGTGAATAATAGGATAAAGGTGCATGACCCTATGAAGATTGTGTACAAAGTGGGGTTCTTTAGGAAGAAAATACTACAGGACTTGTAAAAAATGTTCAGTTATGTCAGTCAAATAAGCTGCCTATTTGGTCAAGTAATATGTGGTAATCTATGCTCAGCCCAGCTCCTGTGGCAGAAATAAAAGAATAAAAGCATAGAACTAGAGACCTAAAGAGCAGTATGGTACCTTGAAGAATTATCAGGTTAGGCCTCTGAACTATGAATGAGCAGACTGAAAACTGTAGACACATACATAGACCAGGTAGTGGCAAGAAATGTAGTGAATGGGAATCCCTCTGTTGGTGTATTCATACCCAAGGTATTTTTATCTGTGTTGAACAGAGTCTCATATTCACTCAATAAACAAAACTGAATCATGAAATGTACAACTGAAAGCATCTAATTCAATTCCAACAAGTCAGGAAAGTGGATTTCCAATCTCTAATGATTGTCATCAGATTCTGAAAGACTTATAGGAAAAAAAATAAAGAAATTTGCCCTACAATGGAATAAATTAAATTCAGTGTAAACTAGTTATTTATTACATATATTGCAAAGCTAAGACTGGATTCTATTGGTTAAGAAACTACAGAAAGAATTCTATGTTGAATATGTGGTTATTTCCTTGTTAAGTGAAGATGGTAGTAATAAGACATGCAATGCATTGAACATCTTCTGTGCTCCAAAAATTTATTTAGGTGCTTTCTTGAAGTTTTCACAATCTTGAAAAATGTTATTATTTCTGTTGGGTAGGTAAGGAAACTATAGCATTCCAGGAAAAAACTTGACTTGTTCAAGCCAACATTACCAAAAGAGGGAAAAACAGATTTATTTTCAGTTTTGTGGTTTTAAATTATTTTTTTTTACCTTGATGCCATAAAAACTCAAAGATTCTACACCTTTGAAATGTCTTAGATCCTCAAGGAATATGAGAAAGTAAGTGTGAGATGTGGTGTACACTCTTATCTCAAATCATGTGGGAGTCCAGAAAACGCAAATCACAACAAGAAGAGTAGAGTCAAAATCTTCAGCTTATCTTGTTTCTTCTTAAGAAAAGTAGGATCTCAGATCAGTTACCAGAAAAGTTAGATCACTGCTACTCTGCACTCCCAGGTATAAGATCACAGAGCAGTCTTCAAGACTCTTCCTATGCAAGCCTGGTAAGACTAATACTTTCCACTCTCTTCTGTGACTGTCATATGGTTTACTGGCTCTGAGCTGTTACTGCCACCAACCTCTGTTTCTTTTGTTAGTTCATATGTCTGTGAAAAAAATAACAAAAATTGACAGCTGATCTTGTTTACTAACATTTATGGGCTTTCTGGTATTGTTTAGGCTCTTAAAGCCTCATACATTGTGAGGAAGGAGCACCTTTGGGCTCCAACAACAGACAAGCCTCTTCTCTAGACTTACCTTCCAGTAACTATGCACATCAAGTACCTGGTCCAATAAGGGATAACAGAGTTTATCCCTTCTCTCTTTTGACATGTACACACTGAGAATGAGAAAGAATTATGGCAATGGATTATTTTTTGATAACTATTTTATTGCTCTCTAAATTCCCTAGTCCTTTTATACTGACTTTACATTATGTATGCATTATGATTCATGAATAGCTTCTAAGATAAATCTGATAAATCTACGAAGAATTTCTGTTTAAATAAATGAATATAAACTTCCAAGGAGTAATGTGTTCCTTTGTGTTTTGAAGACATACAGCTCAAATGATTTCTAAACTTACATACTAATGATTACTCCTCTGCATCTTCCCCTAACTGTTGCTCTCCATATTCTGCATGATTACTTTTAGCTTAAGTACACCCTCACTATGGATCTGTTCTGTCAGTAGCTAACAGTTTGGCAAAGACAAAGCAAACAAGAGATTTTTCCCTGACAAGAGATGAAGCATTACTGTGTAGGTACATCTTAATGTGATCTTATAAAATGACTTTTCATCCTCATGGAAGGGTAAAGAGACACATCTGATCATATGCTTTCTTTGAAACCACCAAGCACTATAGATTTAATATCAATAAAGGATTGCCACAAGAGAGGAAAAGAAATATCAAAAGTTTCTCTTTTAGAAATAGAACGATGTCTAAAAAGGCTTAATTTCAGTATACGGGGTGAAGGAAACTGGGTAATGTCATAAGTCTGGGTGCACTCATATGAAGTTTTCAGATAAAAGTGATCAGGAATATTTGAAAATATCTCTTCATTAATGAAAAGAGTAGAAGGTAGTAGGATGATATTAAAATAAAATGTAAAAAATCAAAATGAAAATGAAAATGAAAAGGAGCAATTATTAAGAATTAGTTTCCTAGTCAGAACCTGTTCTAACTTATAGATCATGAAAAACTACATCCAACTTTATCCAGTGAACCGTGTTTGCAATTTACATTCTACACTAATAGTTCCAAATTATCTCTTCTATATTTCATAAAAACATGTGAGAATTCAAGCATGTTCCTGAGAAGAAAAATAGAGTATATCTCTCTTTTTAAATATTTTTTTGCAGAGCCCCTAGGTAGGAGATAATCCTAGTTCATTTCAATGCATATTTGAGTTCTTCATATTTATTTACTAAGCAAGTGTTATACATTAGACACTATGCAAAACTTTTTGCAAGTATTAACCCATGTCCTTTCCTTAACCCTGGGTATTGGTAATCTAATTAATGCTGTTATAAGGATAATAAAGCTTGCCAGACATCCTATAGTTAATAACCATTGCTGCAGTCTCACTCATATCCCTGTTCTGTGTTGTCTCTTCAGGCAGTGTGATTTGGTGCAGGGATTTCTGACCAGCGGTGTGCAGCACTGTCAGCAAAACCATGGGATCTCCTAATCACACCAACATGAACCCTTCTATCTTCTTTCTCCTGGGCATTCCAGGTCTGGAGCAATTCCACTCATGGATCTCACTCCCGGTATGCTGCCTGGGTACAGCCACAATGGTGGGCAATCTAACCATCCTGATTGTTGTTGCCTCTGAACCTGCTCTGCACAAGCCTGTGTACCTTTTCCTATGCATGCTTTCAACCATCGATTTGGCTGCTTCCCTCTCAACAGTGCCCAAGCTACTGGCCATCCTCTGGTGTGGAGCTGGATATATATCTGCCTCTGCCTGCCTGGCACAGATGTTCTTCATTCATGCCTTCTGCATGATGGAGTCCACTGTGCTGCTGGCCATGGCCTTTGATCGCTATGTGGCCATTTGCCACCCCCTTCGATATACCACGATTCTCACCAACACCATCATTGCCCGCATTGGAGTGGTAGCTATGGTCCGAGGCTCCCTGCTCATGCTCCCATGTCCCTTCCTTATTGGGCGTCTGCGCTTCTGTCGAAGCCATGTGATCCCACACACATACTGTGAGCACATGGCTGTGGTGAAACTAGCGTGCGGGGACACTAGGCCTAACCATGTTTATGGACTGACGGCAGCACTGCTGGTTATTGGAGTTGACTTGTTTTGAATTGGTCTGTCCTATGCCCTCATTGCTCAAGCTGTCTTTCGTCTCTCATCTCATGAAGCTCGGTCCAAGGCCTTAGGGACCTGTGGTTCTCATGTCTGTGTCATCCTCATCTCTTACACACCAGCCCTCTTCTCTTTTTTTCACACATCGTTTTGGCCACCATGTTCCACTTCATATTCATATTCTATTGGCCAATGTGTATCTTCTGTTCCCACCAGCTCTTAATCCTGTGGTTTATGGAGTTAAGACCAAGGAGATTCGTGAAAGGGTTGTGAGGGCATTTCAAAGGAGACAAGGAGCTGGGGTAAAGGTAACCCAGTGATTTTGCAGTATACAAAATGATTTAATCAAGAAATTTTTTTGAGATTAAGAAATTCTCATTATTTGAGACTGGGAAGAGATTTTAATAAGGAAATAATGTCCTCTGCAGAACACACCTAACTGTTTCCAAGAATCTTAGAACAAAGACATTCAGCACTCTTCCACTCAGAAAAGTGTAAGCACTGGAAGACTTTTCCAAATTAGATCATTTCAGGACTTTGCAGACAGAGTTGGCCCTCCCTTCCTGGCTCCTCCTACCACTACCAGCATGAATTTCTAATTTCATACTTTTTCTTTGTGCTCTCTTACCATATGTATGTACCAATAGATAGGACAATAAAACTACAGTTAATTTATAATTGCAAGGATTTTATTATGCTTCTGTGTAAGTCCTATATTTCTTCATCAGGATTTCAAAACAGAAAAGACAAATTCACATGTTCTCCCAATATTACTTAAGAGCACTGTAAATGCTTAAAAGCTAAAATACTTTAGCATTAAGTGATAGGACTCTTGTGGATGGAATTACAGAGACCAGGAAGAGCTCTTCATTTCTAAGGATGAGCTTTCCCATTCATACACATATGTTTCTATGGTCAGTCTCTAGAAAACTGATCTAAGTTCCAATAACTTGGATATCACTTCCTGGCAAGCAGTTTTTAAGCACTTTTACACATTCATATCAGTGGGAAGGTGTTCCAGATGTAAATAATTTGCATATATTCCAATTTAATAAAATATGCTGGCCACAGTCTGTTTTTCAATGAAAGTTTAACCATTACCCTGTTCTATGGGAAGATCATCAATACACGAACCAATGCTGGTTTTAATTTCTAATGTTAATTCTTTAATTGACATATTCTTAACAACTTTTTAAAGAATTACAGTTAAATCTAAATATTACAGTTCCTCAACTAAATTGACTCTCTATTTTCCAAATTGATCATCTTGCCAGATCAATGACCTACAACACCAACCCTGGAGCAAATCTGTCTTCTGTGCCATGCTTTACCTACTTCAATGTGAGGAACAGATCGGAAAGAAAACCTACAAATGTGCATAAGAAAAAGTACTCACTTTAGCTGGGTTCTCAGTGCTGGATGCCTGTGCTTTCACTTATTTAATGACTGTAATAATGTGCTTTTATCACTTTGCTTCTTTATACGTTTTTATTACATTGCACTTCCTTACACAATAAATGTTACATAAGTTTTTCTTCAACAAGGGTAAATGAAGTGTCTAGAAGTAAAGCTTCACATATTCAAACCTTCATACAAAATTTAGACATCAAGCTACATTGATTTATTACTAATTACTTTTTTTCTAAAGAAAGTTACTAAAAATATGCTTTTGGTCGATGCCCTTCTATCTCTTGTCTTCACAATCTGTTTGCATTCACTGACACTTTTACCTCATACAAAAAATTTCCCTTGACTTTAGTCATCTTTTCTTTATAAAGATATGAATAATGTCTTTGGAACTAATTGTTTTTATTTTTTATTCCTATTTATTCTCTACATTAAATCTTCTAGATTCAACCAGAAGCTGAAACTTCTAGTGAAACCTCTGTCATTTCTTACTAGTAATGACTGGTAATCGTCTTACAACCTGTTTTACCATTTGCTGTGATCTGCCTCTTCAATGTCTGCCCATTGTGATTTCTGCGATCTCAAAAAACCCTGACAATTCTTCTATATTTGAAATACTTTCTTTATTTTCTTAATTTTTCTTCTTGACCCTGATTTTTAGATGTTGATGATTATTGAGGTTCCTCTAGATGCTTCTCACTTCATACAATCTCTGGCCATAGTAGTGAAGATCATGGAAGGAAGCAGAGAGTGTTCAGCATAGAGTCAAGCAGAAGGCTTCCGAGTGGCCCCACCTAGTTACATAATAGAAGGTCCTGCATCTTCTTTGCACTGGGGAACTTCTCTAACTTTTTCATTCCTTCCTTAAAACATGACCTATGAAGTGTTCAGCTGATCCCAGCCCACCATCATCATGATAACACCGTGACCTTCACCTGACTTTTAGCAGGCTTGGGTAATATTACTACTTGAAATCTGTTCCTTACAAGATTAGGTATTGATAACAATTTTTGTTTGCGTAACTGTTGCTTTTCCGTGGTTTGGTCCTGTTTGACTCCAAGGGGGACAGGGAATGGAAACGTGCCCTTTATTGACTTTTGAGATTGGTACAGGAATGAATCCATGATTTCGGTGATGGAGATTTCAATGATGGCCTTCATGTTTGTTCTTATAATGCAAACATTGGGATTCAGGAATCTTTGTAACTGGTCCTGCATAACTGACAGTATATAAATATAGAGGGTGTTGTCCATTTTGCTGTGTTTGGAAAGATGCTCTCTGTAACTAACATCAATATACAAAAAACCCCATAAAAATAAATAGACAAATATAAATTGGTGCTATTATCTGTACACCTGGATTCATTAATGATTAAAGATATTTCTATTCCTGTTTATATACTTTATTTAACAACACATACATTCATCTTTTGCTTCATATTTTTAAAGTAGAATCTTTGCTTTTGAAAATTAAAAGAATGTTTAATATCACATCTTTGAAAACTTCAAATTCCTGTGATCATCACTCAATAGAGACTCCATCCAAAATAGCAGAAACAGATCCAGATGTTTTTCTTTCTCACTCTTATTACCTTTCAATCTCCCTGATTTCTGGTAGTATATCAGATGAAAAGTTTTTACAGTTTGAATCTGAATCTGTTGATTTCCAAATGTCTTTCATGAATGTCATAGCTATCTTCAGATTCCTGTAAACAGATGCCAACAACAGAGCTTAATGAGATGGTTTAATGAAAAAAGCGTAGTTAGTATAGATAATCTCCCAGTTGAGGCACAGAGAAAATAATGATGAAAGAAATAAAGGAGAGGAGTTGGGCAGAAGCAGAGAATCCCATCCCAGCCTGGCAGAACTCTCTCCCTCACCAGGGGGATGGGGTCAGGCCAAGGCTTCCTGGCAGGAACAGGCCTGAGTTGGACGGAGGCAGGGAATCCTGTCCCAACCTGGCAGACCTCTCTCCTCACGGGGAGCCAGGCCGTGGCTCCTGCCAGGAACAGTGAGTCCAGCCAAGCCACACAACCCCATCCCAGGCTGGCGGACCTCTCTTCCTCACTTGGAACAAGACTTAAAGCTCGAAAATATGGGGAAATGACAAAATGAAACACCAAAATGCAATCTCAAACATCCAGCAAATCCCAAGAAAGACTCAGAGCCATGTGCATAGAAGAAAATACATGTCACATACCTGAAATACTTGAAATAATAGTAACTGAAATAAATAAGCAACTCTGGGAAGCCTTAAAGGAATTCAAACTTGAAATAATCTCTCAGGTAAAAGAAGAAATTATAAAAGAAATGAAGGAGATGCTGAACTTATCTAAAGAAGACAGAGTTAAAATATTGGAGGAACTAAAAAAAAAAAGATAGAACCCTTGGATGAACTGTATAAGAAACATAAAAATATATAAAGCAGATGCAAATACATATACAGGAAATCAAAAACTCCATTGAAAATTGTAAAAATCACCTGAGTGAATGTGAAGATAGAATTTCAGATCTCGAAGACAAGATTGCAGCCAGTGGGCAGGAAAGGAAAGATCTTTTAAAAATAACAATAAATCAGGAAATAACAATTGAACACCTGCAAGGTGATGCAAAGAGGAACAACATAAGGTTGATAGGGATAAATGAAAAGAAGGGGAAAACATAAAGGATTTCAAGAGGATATTTAGAGAAGTAATAGCTGAAAATATCCAAAATATGAGATTGGAAACTGATATTAAGATCAATGAAGCATATTGAACTCCAAATAGCCATAACCAAAATAAAACTACACCCAGACACATAATAATGGCCATTCCAGAAATCCAACAAAAGAATAGAATATTAAAAGCTGTCAGAGAGAAAAGACAGATCACCTATAAAGGAAAACCTATCAGAATCACAGCACACTTCTCTGCACAAAAATAAAGTCAAGAAGAGCATGGAGTGAAGTATTCCAGATACTAAAGGAAAATGATTTCCAACCTAGACTCATGTAAAACTGCAACTCTGCAAAACTGTCATTCAAAATCGATGGAGAAATAAGATACTTCCATGACAAAGTACAGCTGAAAAACTACATGATCACCAAGCCAACCCTGCAAAGAATACTGAAAGACAGCCTAGATACATTTAGGAAAAAACCACTAAACAGAGCAGACAATTAAACAGAACAGAAATATAAAGATGCAATAGCAGAAAGATAAGGTGTCAACAATAAACCAATATATATAACAGTTATAATCATTAATGTAAATAGTCTCGATGCACCAATTAAAAGAAACAGACTGGCACAATGGATTGAGAATCAAAATCCAACCATATGTTGTCTACAAGAATCCCATGTAACCCAAAAGGATACTCACAGACTGAAAGTCAAAGAATGGAAAACAATACTTCATGCAACAGGACCCACCCCCCCCAAAAAAAAAAAACTGGGGGTGGCTATTCTGTTTGCAGACAATGTGAACTTCAAGCCAATAATGATCATAAGGGATAAAGAAGGTGACTACATGCTGGTTAGGGGAAAACTCCAAGAGGAAGAGCTAACTATCTTAAATATATATGCACCAAATTCCAGAGCACCTAATTATATAAAACAAGTACTAATAGAAATGAAAAACCAAATTAGCAGTAATACAATTCTAACAGGAGATCATAACACACCATTGACAGCAATGGACAGATCAATCAGACAGAAAATCAGCAAAGAAATAAAAGAAATGAATCACACCTGTGAATAAATGGACTTAATAGACATATACAGAGTATTCCACCCAACAGCGACAGAACACACATTCTTCTCAGCAGTACATGGGTCATTCTGTACAATAGACCGTATATTAATTCATAGAACATATTTAAATAAATGCAAAAGGGTTGAAATTAACCCTTGCATGCTAACAGATCATAGCAC